TCATATATACTGTATACACACACACACACACACACACACACAATAAATGAGTTGCATGTAGTCTTAGTATTATTGTAATATAGTTATATCATTATTATTGTTATTAATAATAACCATAATTATTAATATTTAACTATTTACTATGACTGTAAAACATATTTATTATGTTTATTTTAAAGAGGACAGTTAATTCATAACTTCAAATGATCGGTCTGTGCCAGGAAGGTAATTTTCAAGGCAAAAAACATATTGACTCACCTGTCCAGGAACTCCAGCACCAGTACAGTCCAAACCCTGTGAGGTGAAAAAAATATTTTTTAAAACAATTTAAGGAACAATACCCCATATTAACGTACATCAACATCCCTGAATGCCAAAATAAACAGTGCTGCAGTCATTTATTCCCAGCAAGCCTGGACAGAGAGTGGGATTTATCACACAAACACACTCGTTCGTTATGATTCAATGTTTGACATTTCTTACCTGGTTGCCCTTCTCTCCTTTGAGGCCTGGCTGACCCGCATAGCCTTCCTGAATAACCTGCAATACAATAAAAAAAATCTATGTACTGCATGTTTGTAACATAATGTCATATGAACTCCCTGTTGAAAAGACCAGCTTGGATTAAGCTGTTAAGCAAAAAAAATAAAACAAATACAACGAGTGTGTTTACCGTGCCAAGATTTCAATTTTGTACATGCAAATATGGAAAAGAGCATGTGAGGTGGTCAATCTTTGAAACTGTGCAAAAATATCTGACAATGCACAAAAACCTTAAATCTGGGAATTTTTCTGCCAAGCGAAATGCATTAAGAACACTAGACGGTGCATGTGGGTTTGCAAGTGCATTGGTAGCTGCTTCTCATAATGGTCTTATAAAACTTCCTCCAAGGCAGCCGCAAGCCTGGCCAACCTTTAAACATTCATACTTAACAAGTATCATGAAACTTTGCCAGATTTTTCAAAGACATAAATGCATCTCTTTCCAAGGGCGTGATAGCGCAGCACTCATGCACGCTCATACATGCAAATCCTGCTGCCTACCTACATAGCCATTAAACATGCTGCACACATGACGAACTGAACGTTAATACCCACACTTGATTCCTCATTGAGCAGTACACATCCTGCACACTGGAAAAAAAGAGAAAACCAGGTTGTTCCTATCCATGACAATGTCTTTTTCTAAGGTTTGAGTTTTGAAATAGTATTTTGCTCCACTCTACTTTAAACCAGCTTTGCTTTTGATATTGTTACAGATGTTGGCCTGCGGGTGGCAGTGCAACATAACGTTAATCGGCATAGGAGTGCAGAATCGGGGGTGCACTACTGCGTGTCATTTCAGCTTGCCACGGTTCTCTCACGGGAGACAAAGATCAATAGGAACAGAAGATTCCTCACGGCAATGTTCACCAACGCCTGCTGCAAAGCTATAAGGGAGGGGGGACACGCAAAGTCAAATACTTATAAATAGCTATAGTTTCTAGCGGAAGAGCACAATTAAAACAAAATCTACCACACGTCCAGTCCTGCTCAGCCAACAGGCAGTTAACGTGCATTGATGTGGTGAGGTAAGAGCGAAGGAGAGGAAGTGGCACGTCTCTGTGCCGCAGCTCTGAGAACGGTTGGCTGACACGCTGGGCTGATTCATTTTTTTCCAGAGGTGCACACAGAAGAAAGCTACATGATGAAAATCAACTCTTTGAGATTTTCCCGCACTCCCTCTGTTCGCATGAATGAATGGATTTACATGCAAGTTTATATTCTACTGTTAGAGACGATATCGCTTTAAGAGAGTCTGTGTGTCTGACCGATTGTGCACTCAATGCTGTAGAGAGGTATATTCTGGGTTCAATATAATATAAGCTCAATCAACAGCATTTGTGGCAAGATATCGATTATCAACAAATTTATTTTCAACTTGCACTTCTTTTCTTTAAAAAAGCAAAAATCTAGGCTACAATGAGGCATTTACAATATGGTGAATAGTGCCGATCCATAATCATTCAAATACTTTTTTTTTTTAAGTCGTAAAGACGTAAAGAATATGCATGTTAACATTAAACTTGTGTGAAGAAAAAAAAAAATCACTTTTCTATGCATCACATTTTCTATGCAGTTATATACAATTTTACAAAATATTTGCAATGACAATATAGGCCTACTGTAACACCTAAAACTCTAAAATGGCTGTAAAAAGATGCTTAAATCCTTCAAAAGTGCACCTGTTTATTTCCACTGTAAGGTCCTCAATGTAACCTCGATTTGTGCTTTTTTGTTTCAAGAAAAGGGAGGAAGATCAGCTTTTGAAAGATTCCGCAAATGTGAGATTGTTCGCATGACAAAAAGAACACCTGTGGTGTTGTGGACTTCATAGATGCATAGGCCCCAAATCCAAAACAGTGTTAATTATACTCAGGGGCGGAGGCAGGGGTGACTGTGGCCACCACTGACCTAAGCTTGGCCACCCCTTTGGCCACCCCACTCAAAACTGTTTTTGTCCCTTTCTTTGACAAGAAATGCATTTATTAAGACGCGGAACTGCCGGGTCTCTTTATGACCACATCAAACGTAGACGCATGCTTCAACTTCGCCTCAGCACCAGGCGCAAGTCAAACGAGCGCGTAAATTAAGGAACATGTGCCAAATGAGCTTCAGTAGAACAACAGTGAACTGCGGTCTGATGAGATGGCGTAGGCTATATGTCAGTAAAACAAACTTTCCTGTCCTGACAGCTGTTTTACCGTGCTCATGGCTCATATTCACTCAGCATTACTTGATCTAATTCACAAATATCTCAAATACAATTTAGTAGAAATTATTCAGTTGTGTCTTAGGAACTAAAACAGTCCAATACTTTATAGTCAATCACATTTTTATATTGAAATAATGAAGATTTCTGTGCCACCCCAGACTGGTTGCTGGCCCCGCCCTGGCCACCCCTATAAAAACACCCTGGCTCCGCAACTGATTATACTATAAAGTATTTATCAATATTTTGATAATATGTTTTTATATTTTCAACTTTCATTTGAATTTAAGTTTACTCATTTTCTTATGTGCTTGACATTTTTATTAGTTTTTTTTATTATTATTATTTCTTCATAACTTTTTTATAGTAATTTCAGTGCTTTTAGAATTTTTAAGCTTTATTTATTTGTAAATTCGTGTTAGTTTTTGTGTGTGTGTTTTCATCTAATGTTCATATTTTATTTCAGCTTTATTTACATTACTGAAAATGATATTTAATAGTTTAGTTTTAGTTAACAATAACAACACTGGTCCACAACAATTTGAGACAAGGCCGTTGACCCATTGTTTAGCTCTGTGAATCGAATCAAAACCAAAAAAGTCCCACTCGCATCCCACTCAAATACTGACATTTTCTGCCCTTGCCTTTTTATTTGAAAGAAGGTAATACCTTTTTTCTATGAGTCATAAAAATGAGCTGAGTGTTGAGTGGGTGCAGAGAGGGGTAAAGGTGACAAACAGACAAGCGTTTTATGTACGAAACATGGGCGTTATTCTCGTATTGTGCCAGAGAAGCACATTTACCAAGCAAAAGCAAGTCCCTCTAATTCCAGGTGGTGTAATATTACACAATATGCTCTACTATCAGTAGTAAATTATCTCATGAGTTTGTCAGGGTCAGTGTCAATGTTCTTCCCACTGCAACTCAGCACGCAGCAATTTACTTACCAATTAAACTGAATTTCTATAGCTATTGGGTGAAATCTGCTGGGGCCACAATTATTTTTGTCAGGTTTGAAGCCTTATAATTGGGACTGCCTGTTGCTGTTTATGGCAAATAGAAATAAGTGATTTTATGCTGACTTAATTCAAATGACTTACTTTTTCTGCCAGTTCCTTGGATCCGAGAATTGCCTGTAGAACATAAAAACAAAGAAATTGACAAAGAATGTCAGATAAAAAAAAAAAAAAACGATGACAGTCCTCATAATCAATATGCACTTTCATGTTACAAACTTTAAAATGCAATGAATCCAAAGTAGATACAGATCTATTAACCATAGTTATCTTACTGCAGCTGTGGTTTTCAGCAAACATGAAGAGAGATCACATAAACACAATTTTTTTAGGGGGGGAATGAGATGAAAGAAGAGCTGAAGCCCCCTAAATAGGGCCTAACAATGCCTATGTACATAATATGCCATCTCTCACTTTTCATGCTTACCTAACAAAGTTCTGCTGACCTGAAGTTGGCACGTTCACAAGTGTTTGTGTTATCTAGATTTGTTTGTATTGTCATTTTACCGTTACAGAGTTTCATCCGTATGATCAACAGAGAATATGAAACTCTTTTGATGGAGAGCAAATGGGGAGGAGAACTGGAAGGAATGGAGAGGGGGAAGTGCAGTGAGGAGGGACATGATTTAAAGAGAACACCAGGGACAGGCAGAAAAACAAAAGATGTGTTTGTGGAGCAGATGTGAAAGTAAATCCTCGAGTCATGTCCGAGCAGAGAAAGCAAACACAGCATCGGTAAGGCTAATCAGACTGGACAGGCATGAAAAAGGAAAGTGCTCGGTTACCTAATCTCCGGCCGTACCCTGAGATCCAGTTTAGAAATTGCTGAGAGTGCATGCACGCATGCACGCATGCACAAACGCTAAAAACAGGGTTCCACAGAGAACACAAAATGGACATGTTGTCCATACAGCTACAGTCTAGCACAGGATGGAAGAGAATTGTGATGACCTGTTCAAAAAACCCTGGTGGAATGAGCACATGAATAATGCAGGAAACTTTGTTTAGCTGCAACCGTGCGGCTCTCAGCTCATGAATTTCTCCCAGCCGGTGAGCTCAACAGAAAAAGAATGCGATGACAGAAGAATGCTGTGCTTTTAAGGGACTTTAATGCGGGGCGAATTGAGGATCTGTATAGGAGGAAGGGGTTAATACAGAAGTAGGCTAATGCTAGCAGCATCCAACACAGTCTGGAACTCATTACAATTTGTCTTAAAACACAGACTGCTATGGTACTAGACAGTAACCTGGGTCAAGGGAAAACATGGGAGCATGTGAGATTTTTTTTTTTGGCCTGTCTGCGCATGTGTACCTCTAACAGATAAATAAAGGAAAGGGCTGGAAGTATGCTGTGCTGAGTTTGAGCTCACAGCTGTGGTGCTGTCTGGTAAAGACTGTATATGGAAGAATTCCACAAATTAACAAACATGCACAAAATTACCATAATTTGTACATGATCTCATGTACACGTCGGCAAAACATGGCAGTTTCTTTAAAATGCAACCGCAAATATATTGAAGATATACACTATTTATTTTATTAAATATATAATAAATATAAATGTGTTTAATTAAGTGGAGTAACTTTTGGAAAGATATATAAAAAGCATGCACTGGAAAATTTAAGTCGTATTTTTGTCCTTTTTTTCAATGAATAAATGCATTTTCTTAAAATATACTAAGTAAATTAAATTAAGTATTTAGATAATTTTTTTGAGCAGAAAAAGAAGTGTAAGACAGTAAGATATTATAAAGAGACTTTTCACAGAATAAGTTAATTTTTCTTACCCCATTTGATTAAAAAAATATATATATATATATTTTTTTATATCTTACTGTATGTAAGTTTGCTTCTCAAGCTAATTTCTCTCAGTAAATATGTTTGCTTGAAAGTAAGATAATAATTATGCTTAGAGTGTATAAATTGTGCAATGCTGTCTAAATTCAGACAATTGCTCAATTTGGCTGGCATGGTCAAACATTAATTTGTTAGAGCTGCTAACATTTTATCAGAGGGATAAAATGAGTAAATACCGAGACAGAAAGTGGCACAAAAGCACACAAAGTGATACTTCTAATATGTACCAATGGAGCTAATTCCTCTGTCAGTATAGCAGCAAAGATTAAAAGAGCATTTACACCACAAAACCATTTTATATCATTTCCACCTCAAATCTCCTACTGTTCTCGTGAGAGAACGGAGAGTGATTAGTGTTGAGACGTTTATCCACCCAAAGCGTGAGCTGAGGAGACACTTCATGTTGGTGTACGTGTGACCAACAACGTAACAAACCGCTTTGAGTGTGTTTGGCTCCAATACAGAGCCCTCTGGATGTAATTATGTCACATGTGTGAGTGTATAAGAACAATCCACGTGGCAAGCGGGGAAGATATGTGACCAGTTGGAGACCAGCTGAAGTACCTTCACCAACCAGCTTTTTATTAGCCCTGCTAATGATCATGACTCACTGCTGCCAGGAGAAACAACAAGAGCAGCCCACACAAACATCACAAATCCTCTTTTCCACAGAGGACAAGTTATCCCCCCATATGCACAGCTTGCGTTAGCACTGAGAAACTGCTGATGAATTGTGTTTTCAGGGGAAAATAGCAAATACCGGGTTTAAGTGGAAGTCATTGTTATCTGGAAAATACTTAAGGTTATTCTTGGAGAAGACTGAGACACAGAAATGCAGAAAGATGTGATTTTTCAGCAGTCAAATTGTGTTTACTCATAGCTGCTGATGTAAACTTTAGCTCTACTCCTTGCAACTTTGATAGAGTTTTGTTTATAGTGTATGGTTGGCTAGCAGTAGGATTGTTTTAAAGGGATAGTTCACCCAAACTCTATCATTTACTCTGCCCTCTGTTACTCCAAACCTGTATGCTTGTTCTTTTTCCATGAAACACATAGGAGGTATTTAGCCAAATGCCTGATTTTCTCTTTTTCCATAAAATTAAGGTTGATAATAACAGCCTGCTGTCAACTTTGTGAAAGAAATGTTACATTTATAATATAATATAATATAATATTTCAGAAGAGATTCAAAATTACCACTAATAACAGGAGAGAAAAAGAGAGAGAGCATAAAGGACAACATGTAGATGCAAGAGCAAATATGCGTAGACAAGAAGCGAAAGAGCAAGTATTAAAAATAAAAGAGCTGCGGAAGCAGAGAACGTTTGATTTCAGCATTTCTACGGCCCACTGGGCATTGTTCACAAGAATTCACATTAATTTCCAGTTTCTACAGAAGAGCTCATTCAACTGCCTGCTAGTGGGACGCTTAATGGCCACTAACTGTGTCATTTTATGTCGAATTTATCAGGATGAGAAATATTTATCAGCCTACATTACATCTTCAGCTCATCTTGTCATCTATGTATGTGCTGTAATACTGCTGGGATGCACCATTCAAGTGTTTTAACAGGGGAAAAGTATGAAAAACTCAACCGGGTGCTGCACATTAATATCAGTAGTATATTCACCTAAAGAGCCTGGCAAACCTATTTTAGGAAGATTACTTCTTTGGGCTTTCAGAGGCATGCACACAAGATTTGTTTGGTCCACACCATTTTTAATTGTTGGCTAATGTGCACAAATGCATTTGATGGATGTATTTCGTTATTATATATCTATGTTGCATTTTAAAATAGCGTGTTGAATAAAAATATACAGCTCATTTAAAAATGCATCTTGAGGCCTCTTCAATGTGATCCATTCCATTGCATTCTTGCTGCTTTTGAACGCATGGATGCATGGATGCATCCTCAGTCTATGCCCCCTTATTAGCTCCCACTGAGAGCAAGTACGTGTGTGTCTTCAAACACTTCAAACCATCTCAAGATCAGGATCCCACATTCAATAACTAAGCACCCCTCTCTTAATTTCTGTAAGATCTTTTCATTAGAGGCCCTTGCACAGTTTCAGTGGCTCATTTTTAAGTGCAATATCAAGGGTTGTTTTTGCAAATGAATGAGTTCATGCACTGCACAACAAAATTTCTACAAATTAATTGCAAAAGACTGAGAATTTGTAATAGTCAGATTAATTTACCTGAGTGAAGGGATTGGGCACAAACTCCACCTGGTTCTCTGCGGCTCTTCGACTCTTGGGAGCATCCGGTGGGCACTACGGAAGCACAAAGAACACAGATCAATCCGATTTGAACTAAAATTAAACTATTACAAAAACATTTCAGTAACTGAAATAAACTGAAGTATAATATAAGTATTGGATGAAAATTTTAAACTTAAAAAAAACTTTAGAAATTAGAAAATTCAGTTAGTTGCCTAAAATTGCAAAATAAATAAATAAATAAATAAAATAACACAATTGCAAAAACTTAAGCCAAAATTACAATGAAAACTAAAAATATACAAATAAAAGCTAATATGAATAAATACCATAATAGTATATAAATAAAACAACACTGGATTTGATTTAAATTAAAAAAAGAAAATCCTTCTCAAGCACACTCCCTAGTATTGATACAAATGTGGTCTTTCAAGGCATTTTATGATGCAAGACATCTTTTCCTCTGCATCTCAAGATGTAATCACTGACTCCTCTGCTTTTAAAAGCCACATAAGAGCACATGCATTCAAGGGGGAAATAGTTGCCCTTGTTTCCATTTTGAACACTGCTCGCAGGGAGCTTTGAGCATTCGCCCCAAAACAAAAGAACACAAAGAGCTCTGTTGTCTTACATTCAAACTCACACACACACACACACACACAGACACACACACACACACACACACACAACAACCTGATGTTTTAGTCACATGATTTTGTTATCCATACCTTACCTCATAAAGAGGCAACTAAAATGTAAGGGAAATAATAATCTTTTCAGACTAAATATGGTCCATCTGGCACGTAACTAATGATGTCTAATAGTTCTTGGCTGTGAAATATCCTCTGATCCAAAATTGCATCAAATTTGAAATGCCAGCTCAGAGTTGGCTGTACCTATTCCCATGTGCACTTCCATTGTCAAATAAGTTTATCAGGTGACATTTCCTGATCTACCTTCTTTACTATTGCAGGCTATGGGTGGCTGTATGCTTTTCATACAGGCTGAAGTTATCTGCAAGTGATGCATTCCTGTGAGCCTTTTCGATTCAGCAAGCCTTGCCAAAGCTCTGATCAATTCAGAGAGGAGAAACGCACCAAATTCCAAATCCTCAAATAAAGCAGCACTCCCACATCGATGACTCAAGCGCTGTTCCTCCACCACAGCCGCCCCGATGGAAGTTGAGTCGCTGCTGAGGCTTTATCCATCAAGTACAACTACAACAATGATTTTTTGACTGAAAGAACGCATCCATTCCCTCAGCAAAACATGAGCTTTGCCTCCACTGTGATCACCGAAAACATGTGCGAATGTTTCTTCAGCTTGGGTGAAATATTACTTGACAATACTGGGAAAAACACACCCTTTAAAAAATTATTCTACCTATGCTTGGACTTAGGTTCTTAGGTTCTATGCTTAGGTTCAAACCATTAAGGTAAAACTATATAGTGTAATTTACCTGCATGGTATCATAACACTGTTAACTGGCTCACTGTTAAACATATTTTAGTTAACATTTCTAGTTTTTGTTTAACATTTATATATTTTTTTTATTTCAGCATTGTTTGCTTTATTTCAATTACCAAAAACTTTTTTTATTATTTTTTTTTAGGTGAACTATTTCTTAAATTGTATGATTAAATAACAACTCTAAGGTTCAGTTTTTTTTTTGAGGTTGACGAAGACATGCAAGCAAACATTAATATTGAGCCTTGCCATAACCTTTAGGCTACAAATGAAATAAACTGACAGACTGATTTATCAGAATGTTGATAATGTCAAAATGGCCAATAAATGGACATCAAATGACAGAAGTGAATTGATTTCCTTTTCCTTTTGTTCCAGTGCAAAATATACAATTTTCTACTTTTTGTTAACATCATCTACTTTTTGTTGATTTTCAGTAAAAACTGTCCAAATAAGCATTGTTTTTGTTGTGTAGATCTCATTTTAAACTTTAAACTGCCACCCTGCTCTCTATACAATGCCATAAAAAGCCATTTAACAGCCTATAGCAGCCGAATACTAATAGAAATTAATTCACTAGACGAAACATGTTTGAAATTTCGCATAATACCATGAATAAAAGCATTTTATGGTGTTTTTAACAGTTCAGCCGTTATTACCCGAGCTCCAGGTATCTCACAGCAGGCCTCCTGGATAGCCAGAGAGGGGTCACAATACACCATCACTTGCTGGACATCAATCTGAAAAAAGATGAAGAGAGAAAGCATATTAAAAGCAGAGCAAGAACAAAGAAAATGAGCTTTTTAAATGCTGGACCCCCACTGCTTTACATATGACCACTTGCATGATCATTTCGCTAAGTGGTTGGATTAACAAACTAATTAATTATTAATGGATGAAGCTTGGTTAGGCTAGCATGGGCTGTTCTTTTCATCTTTTTCGAGCTGAGAGAGCTCAGTAGCATTAGACCTGACGAGAAGCGCCCGTAGTCTTCCTGTCTCTCACACATTCACAGACACACCCCTGCCACATTTCCCCGGCAGACAGGATGCCTAGGGCAAAACCTGTGGGAAGCCGGCTTATAAGAAACATCTACTTCCGACTACTCTATTAGCAGTGTTGTGCTCAATTATCTGAGGAGCCGGAAGCTTCTGCAGTCGTACATCTAATTGACATTCTTATACGGCAAGCCTCTTTCTCTGTGAAAGCTTCACAATACGTTCTCAATCACTCACCTCCACAGGAGCAGCATCAGTAGACCTCATACCCAACAGCGTGTGTCCATTGATGGGTAACTGGCCACGGAGCTCCAGGGGCTTGCTATCAATGGAGCTGCAGTCCACGTGCAGGGAGGCCGCATCTCTCTGCAGACTCAGAGCCACCTTATGCCAGCGCATGTCCTTCAGGGATTCCACACCGTCACCTTCGAACACGCACCCCACCATGGACCCTTCAGGGTCGGCCCCTCTCGCCCGCAGGGCCAGGTTGCCATCTGGACCATTCCAGTCCAGTGAGAACTAAAGCAGTGTGATAAATCAGGAAAAAGAAAGTTTTATTTAGACAATGTGATTATACTGAAGCTGCAGTACAGGGTCCAAAATTAGCATTTTGCCATACCTATTGGCCATAAATATTTATATATATATATCAGCCATGTTTTTGTATTATTTCATAACAATAAATTATTTAGCTGTTTATCCCGGCAAAAGTGCACATAATCTTTTCAGATTAAGATGCTTGTCTTAAGACATTTCTATTTTTTTATTTTTATTTAACTATTTCTTTAACTTGCTTTATTTATGTACCAAAGCCATATTTCTCACATAATTCTCACATAGTGTTAGTATCGGTGTAGCATAATCAAGAACTAGCTTTAAACTGAAACGTGTTTAACTAAGTATACAAGAGCTCTATCACATAAACCTAAAGTATAATTAAGTCAGAAATGCAAAGCTCACATACAGTATAAAACATAAGCAGCATGGCTAGTTAACATAAAGTAACTATGATAAATAATTCTAAAACAAGTATTAATCTTAGTTATTTTTTTAATTCAACATTTGCTAATACATTATTAAAATCTAAAGTACCTGTTAACATTATTTGATGGACCTGAGCTGACTTGAACTAACCACGAACAACTGTATTTTTTATTAAAGAATAATAAATACTGTAACAAATGAATTGCTTATACGTTAATTTTAGTGAATGTATTAACTAATGTTAAGCAAAGTGACCTTACTGTATAGTGTTACCAGTGAATTATGGTTTTGAACTAATCAACTGAATGTGAATGACCCACTCACATGATTTTTGTACCTGAATGAATCAGTGTTTTGAACAAATTGATTGAATGAATGATTCAATGACTCCTTCATGTTTCAGTCCTGAATAATCATGTTTGATGTGTTGTGGGTAAGTGTACCACCATCAACACCACTCGGTCTGACACAATATTACAATATAAAAAAAATGACCAGCAATTAGTATTTTATGATTTAGCATGCAGCTCTATAATTAGCAGTTCCTTAAGGCACATATCTATGGACTTGAGGGGAAAGTGGACAGACACACACCTGAGGATACCCATTTTCATCAGATATCTGGAACAGGTAAATGTTTTCTTTCAAAGATTTCTTCTTCAGCAACAAGGTGAAGACCAGGGTGAACTCCTCTGGAAGTCCATGAGGAAACACTTGACTGAGGAGACAAGCATGTGGTTAGACTGCAGTACACGTACAAACAAATAAACATGGAGCAGGTGGGTTGTAATAGTAAAGAAACAGTCTGAATGCTAGCAGAAGTGGGAGTATCTCTGTAATAATGGTGCTGTGGATACAGATATAGGGATAACCCCCTGACACTGATTTTGAAAAGAATTGCAGCTCAGCAAACCTCATCTTCATTCTCAACTTCTATCTCTCACTAGATAAACAGTTTGCCTGCCTCTTGGTGGGTCAAGGGCAGGCAAACTCCAGGAATGTGTTTACCATACCAAATACACACACACACACACACACACACATACTGTAGACTCAGTACTGGAGTTTATTCACACACAAGTCATGGAACAACGGGAAGCTGATCATAAGCACATAAACATGCATACATAACACACACAACAATGAGCAGGTAGCGTGTTTGTCTCTAAACAAGATGACAATGATTTATAACAGAGACCTGGAATCCAAAGTAATAACAGTGAGGCTGGCCTCCTCAATGAAAAAAATTAAATCAGGACTAAACACGAGACAGAGAGAGAGAGAGAGAGAGAGAGAGAGAGAGAGAGAGAGGATGAAACTTGCACTTTTGCACAGGATGAAACTTGTTATGACAGGAAATGAGTTGCATATCCCTTTCGAAGATTTCTTGTTGATATTGCTCAACAAAACTACTCCACTGAAAGGGCCATCATAAATCAAATATTAATGATTTTTTATTTCATTATTAGAGTTCAATTTAGCAGGTCTATTGAGAATAGAGGTGCATGATTGATATATTGGTGGCAAGTAACTAGGAAAGTTCAATTATTATTATCAATGGAATTAATGGAATTACAGCCAATATGTTTAGCCAATACTTTATTGTAGCATTTTTTTTCATATGATTTTTTACAATATGTGTGACCTAAACTACCTCATGTGCATGGTGTACTGTAAATGCATTACACCATGCACTACACACTATAAAACTGCAGTGTTTTTAGCCAAGTTAGTGTGTCACGTTGCTCTGTGATGATTATCTTGCGAATTACACTTTGTTGTGATATGTTTGGGCACATTTTAATTGGTATCATCTGCTAAAAGTGACAAAATCCCATTTTTTATTTTGTTAATATTTCTTTAAAATAGCTATTTTAAAATATTATATATTTTTTAATAGCTTTAACTCTTTTGAAATGTATTGCGTTTAAATCAATGTCACTTTTAAATCAATGGACCAATCAGGATCTAAGAAATAAGCATATTTTCATACAGACAAGCCTTGTGTTTATATTAGCAATAATGTATAGGAGCTAATACTCCACTACTGTCAAGTGGATTTTAATGGACAAACGGCCCTTCCTTTTTTTTTTCTTTAAAGAAATGTTATGCATCATGAGTTCCATAAAAATATCAAGCATCACACTTTGTTTTCAACAATGATAAAAATAAGAAATGCTTATTTGAGCATATCATAATTATTTCTGAATGAAAATTCAATCAAATACAATTATTTATAATTGTAAGAGCCGCTTAAAATTCAATTTAAATTTTTATAATATTTCACAATAATACTTTGTTGTATTTTAAATGAAATAAATACAGCCTTGGTGAGCACTACTTTCAAAAACATAAAATAATTGTACTGTATGTGAATAAATCTAATATGCTTGTTGTATTCTACTAGCTGAGACCTTTTTATTGATATATAACACATAACATGATTTGTATTATATTCTTAGTAAATCCTGTTATGATTATCATGATCCTATTTCAGACGTGTTGGTCATATCGCCTATATTAATTGTAAAGTTCAGAGCTTTTAAAATCGTTTATTTGGTGTCAAGTGGGCAATTTTTTATTAATTAGCTAATTAATTAGAAAAACCACAAAGCTTCATTATCAGCATCAGCCACAACAAGACGCTGATTATCAGTTATTCTTATCAGCCCCCAAAATTTGTTGTACTTCTTCTTGGACACAAATCCAAAGACCTGAGTAAACACACTCAAACCTATACACTCCATCTCTCTCCCAGGTGAGGTGAAATTTAAGATAAAGGAATGCAATGTTAGACAGTTCTATTACAAGCCAAGTCTAAGCTAAGAGAATGACTAACACAGAGGTGGCCGAACAATTTAAACACCATCTGCTGCTATCAAATATCAGAGACCAGCTGACAAGACTTTACATTGAACTTTATCTCAAAGACAATGTAGGAGACCATTTATAAAGGAAAAATCCCCCCCCCCCACTGCAGTAAGCCGGCCATGTCGAGCGAGTTTAGAGTGCAGGCTCTCGCTGTCTCTAGCTGAGATGAGATTTAGAGCAGGAGAAAAAGGGCTCAGGTTTCAAATGGGGAAAGCACCTGGGGCTCTGGAAAACCCATTCTAAGAGAGGAACTCCCTGATGATGGGGGGATTTGAGTATGTCTGTGTGCATGTGTATCTTTGCCTTTCCTTTTAAAGTTTCAGAAGGTCAAACTGTACAACTTCCAACCAAAAGTCAGCTATTATTGCAGCTAAAGAAGATATAGGATAGAATATGAAAGCATTTTAATGAGGAGAAATTGAAATCTGACTTTGTTTACAAACTTTTGTATTTTAACAAGTATGACTACATTTTGTGACATTGTTGTGATCTATTCTGAATCTCACATACGATTTCTCAAGAGACCTCTAAACTAACATCTGGATCCAAATATCTAACCTTTAAGTAACATTTATTGTAGTGCACCATCAGCACCAAGATGAGCTGCATCAGATCCTCATGTTTATTTGCAACTGACAAGCAGCTCTCTTTAAGAGAATGTCAGCCAGGGAACAGCCATCATTTCAGGACAGGGAGATAAATAGCTGCTCAAGCACTATTACTGACAACAGATCACATGTCCAAACATCTGAAAACAAATCGGTAACTATTCAGGAGGCAGGGAGAAAAAGACAAGAAATTATCTCTATGTCCATTATAACATTATAACTGAGTTCATGTCACTCAAAACCTCTACAGGCTTCAAACTCTCAGTCTTTTGCCCTTTTGGACAGAATTTATTTTCTAGGTGATGTCTAAATTACAATTATTAACTATTGAAACTTCTGAAATTTCTTAACTAAAATATGATGAAATCAATTTAGCAACTTGGATGGATCAAATTGCAGTCCCACTTTGTCTTTAGTCACAAAAACTTCCTCCAAAATGTTTACAGAGGTAGTCAGAGAGGATAAATGTGACCCTGGACCACAAAACCAGTCTTAAAGGGGTCATATGATGCGATTTCAAGTTTTCCTTTCTCTTTGGAGTGTTACAAGCTGATTGTGCATAGATAAGATCCCTGAAGTTGCAAAGACTAAATTCTCAAACATGTTCCATGAAGATATTTTGTCAATTTTCTACTGTAAATATATTAAAACTTAATTTTTGATTATAATTAGTAATATGCATTGCTACGAACTTCATTTGGACAACTTTAAAGGCGATTTTCTCAATATTTTGATTTTTTTTGCACCCTCGTTTTCCAGATTTTCAAATAGTTGTATCTCAGCCAAGTATTGTCCTATCCTAACAAACCATACATCAATGCAAAGCTTATTTATTCAGCTTTCAGATGATTTATTTCGAAAAATTGACCCTTATGACTCGTTTTGTGGTCAAGGGTCACAAATATTTGATTTGTATATGGCGTTTCACATAGTGCTTGACCCTGAGTTATCATCAGTCTAAACCCCACTTTTAACCCCAGGTAAAGGTATGTTTCATACTTGTAATTTAGAAGCAGTGAATCCCTGTGTTATGAAAGCAGTGTTTTTGCTGTGTTAATCTTGCATTTCGGTGCCAAACGTGTATAGTGCGAAATGGGCATTAGAATGTTACAGCTACATGCTTAGCAACCGACAATCAATCACGTGCTGCATATTCACATGCTTTGATCAGGCACGGAAACGTTGTATAAACAGTTGTTTCAGCATTTAAGAGTAAAAATGTCAAATGATGGCAGAAAATGCATCAATTTGAGTAAAGAAGAGACAGTTTCATTTTTACCTTTATAGTCAGAAATGTCCATTCTGTAAAACTTGATAATGCTGTTGGCAATATATACTTCAAATTAAAATTTATCTCACAGAAAGAGAATGTAAAGCTTGATAATACTGTCGCCAATATATATAATAAGAGGATGCGCAATGCTAGAGCCATTAAGTAAACATGTTGCATGCCGCGTTCATCCAATCAATGACACTGACACCACAAATATGCAATTAAGAATGTTAACCCACGGTTTAGGAATGTACAGTGTGAAATATCAGCTTATGAATACCTAGGATAAACTGTTAACCCTGGGTAAAGTATGAGCAGTTTGAAACGTGAAGCAAGATAACCCAGGATTTTGTTTACCTGGGGTTTAGAATGAGCCAGGGTTAACTATTTCAGGTGTGAAAAGCCCTTATGAGATCCAAAACGTAGCCTGTACAACACAAAGTCACGTAACCTTCTCAGAGAAAAGTAGTCCTATCCAAATAGGGCTTTTGAAGGATGCTATTTTTGTGTGTGAATTCATGATATAGTGTATACACTGCAGATCAAGGGCAGAGCAAGTACAAAAAGAGTATAAAAAGGTTATAGAGTCCAACACAAGAGTGAGAGCTTAAATATTACTCGTCTGACCTATTTGGATCAAACACTCAAGTTCTCATTTCTGTTAAGTCTACATGAGAGAAGCATAACAGGAAATTCTAATAAGGAAGTTGATGTGTAGTCTAAACCAATGCAAACTGACTTTCTCATCCCAACATACAGTACCAGAGTGCTGAGAGGAAACAGAACTCGTAAGCTTATATCATTGTCATTTTTCATCTACGCACATCTCAGTAAAAGCATTGTCATAAAACGGATTGTTACTGTGGTTTGAGGTCTCACCAAAAGCACTTAAAGTTATTGTTAATAAAAAATTTAACAGCATTTCTGTGTAAAAGCACAAAGCAGAGTGTAATCCCCTGAAATGTTTATTTGCAGCGAGATGGACGTAACTTAAGGAGGAAGTCAAAATCTCGCTGGTGACATTATTGCGATTCTTTCATGATGCTAGTGTAAATGTTAGACCAAATAACAGTCAATGGCCAGGAATTCGTGGCTTGTACTGACCTGCTAGAATACCTTGGTAGTTTTTGCAATTTTGTCTTATTGTACTTTATGTTTTATTGCTTTTAGATACAGAATGAACAGGCTCCATCATCTGAGAGAGTGAAAATGTAGTTATTTCTATAACTGACCCTCTTAGAATCTCTCAGGAAAAATAGATACTAGGACAAACAAAAGAGAAAAGATAAAAAAATTACTCTGTAGGTTGGATGAGTTGTACTTTCCCAAGGCGAAGGATGACAGGCCCTCTCGGGTTTCGGATCTTCTTGACCTCGCTGTTCTTCAACAGGGAGAAACGGCGCGCCAGATTGAAACCTGCAGATCGGGCAATCAATCCATTTACCACCCCACAGGATAATAAATCAGTGAGCTGCTAGTTGACATGTCCTATGCTATGTATCAACTCTGCTGTGCCAGTTTTCAATTCATGTAAGGCCAAAGAAGGGACCTTAACTTAACACTGGGAGCATTTATATCTTTCAGCTCATGAACAGAGTCTGTTCCTTAGACTGACTTTATGGGCAGTTGGGCTTTTATTAAGTGTATTAAAAGGCTTAAATGATTACAGATGGCAGTATATTCACATAATTATGTAGAGTGAACTTCTTTCCCATTTTTTGGATATACTAGGTGTTTGTGAGGCACTTCGGTGTTTGTGTTTTGCACTCAAAGCTGAAGAAAATAGAAGCCAGCATGGTAAAATTAAGAAATAATTCTATAGCACAAATTTAGAATATGATTTCTGAAGGATCATGTGACACTGAAGACTGGAGTAATGGCTTCTGAAAATTCAGCCTTAATATCACGAATCATGGAGCCCCTAAGGGGACATGATGATGCAAAATAAAATGAGATGGAAGAAAAATGTGTATTTTAATGCTTGTGTGCACCCTTGAGAAACTGTGTACACTTTAAAACTTTTGTGATGGCAATAATATGAGGTGGGAAGAAAAACCTGAGAAAATGAAAACATTTTCCTTCCATCTCGTTTTTTTTTTTTTTTCATCACCATGTCCCCCTTAGAGCCTCCGTAAAAAAATAAATTACATTTTAAAATAAATTAAAATAGAAAACAGTAATTTAATATTGTAATATTATTTTATAATATTACCGTTTTTACTGTATTTTTTTTTAGCAAAGTTTGAAAGCAATTGTCAACCCCTCTATAGGGCCCTATTTTAACGATCTAAGCGCATGGTCTAAAGTAATAAGCAAAGTGTACGCGTGTTGTGCACCCGCCTATAGGCGCATATTACTAACGCGCTCTTTAAATAACAAAGAAAAAATACAATTTTTTTTTACAGTCTATTTTATTTACAGTCTATTTTCAGTTCCTCAAAATAGCAACATGCCAACAATGCGTTTGAACACACCTCTTTTTTAGACCAGCAGGCCCATGGGCGCACAAATGGGCGCAAATGCATTTGCTATTTAAACAACGCGGCACAGGATGGGAAAATGAGAACTGCGTCGGGCTAAAACACTTGCGCCGCGCCTTGCGCCAGGTGTATGATAGGGCCCTTAATGTATTACCTGCAAAAATCATTAAATTGAATTAAAAAAGCATCACAGAATGCAAGAGCAAGTCCTGCGTGTGAATGACACCTAAATAGTGGATAAGCATTATGCAATTATAGCAATCATGACAATACGGATAGTTCACTCCAAAATTTAAGTTTTAATCTACTCATTTACAGTAACTCGAACCCCATATTTTTACTAAAAACAATAACTTAAATTTTGGTCTGTTCCTCATACAAATCTATCATCTTAAAACACTAGGAATATAGTGTACAAGTAATATAGACTACTTTTATTGTCTTTTTTGGAGCTTGACAACCTTCCAGCACTATTCACTTTTGTTGTATGGAAAAGAACACGTTGGACATTCAACTTAATATCCCCTTTTGTGTTCCTCCGAAGATTAAAAAAAGTAATGTGGTATTGAACAACTTTAGGTGAGTAAATGATGAAGTTTCTTTAAGGGATGTCCATTAGCAGCAGTATTTACCTGTAATGTTGTGTCTGGCAGTTTGAGGAAACTTCCATTCTTCTACCTGTACGGACGGGCAGCTGACACCTGTAGAAACAGAGAAGCAGTCAAGTTGAAGCAGATCTCTGTCCTGCCACCGGTGAAAGGTTTAGCATAAAACAACTTGTACAACCGATCATGAGGAGTCCTGCCAAAACTTGGTCCTGAACATGAGGTGAACAAGCTGAGGCGATCAAAGATTGTCTGAGGGGTGTCAGACACCATCTAAGATATAAATGGAGCTAAAAATAACATGCTCTTGTTTGGAAGAATCACTCTCCCAATCTCACTGCCTGGTGGCAAAGACAATGACAAGTGGTCTGACGCACTCTCGATTGATGGACGACATATGAAAAATACCTAACTTTAAAAAAGTTCAGCCAAAGTACATCCTACGGTATAGTACATCCTGTTCAATTCAACTGTTTGAACTTTTAGCAAGGATGTCACACATCTTTTTTGGCTCACTTGGTGCCCTGGGTGTGTGTGTGTATGCATGCATAAATATATTCATAATAGAAATATATATATTTTTTAAATAAACAAAGAAAATCTGATTTTGACAGCAACTGATCACCATCCATTTTCACTGATAAGTCATAACTTTTTTGCACACAACTATTGTGCAACTTGATGTAAACAACTTTTTGAAGGAGATGTTGCATTTAAAATCCATTCTTTATGATTCTGTACATATCTTTCCATGCCTTTTTTCATGATCCACAAACACTGAAAAAGAAATATATATATTTTTTAAATAAACAAAGAAAATCTGATTTTGACAGCAACTGATCACCATCCATTTTCACTGATAAGTCATAACTTTTTTGCACACAACTATTGTGCAACTTGATGTAAACAACTTTTTGAAGGAGATGTTGCATTTAAAATCCATTCTTTATGATTCTGTACATATCTTTCCATGCCTTTTTTCATGATTCACAAACACTGAAAAGTTCAGTTTAGGACAAGGCATTGGGGGGGGGGAATGCTTTTCTTTGTGAAGAAGCATGTCAAAGGTGCCTGAGACAAGAAGAGTTTTTAATCAGCACGGTTTGATTGGTTCAAAGACATGTACATCAATCAATGTGCATTAGCAAGTTACTGCTGTGTAGCAAAACTGTCACTTAGATGTTTCAGAGATCAGATGAGTATGAGAAACTCAAGCAATAACAGAGAGAAGCAGCTCAGAGCCGTCTCGTTGAGCTTCTAGTGGCGGAGGAGCTGGTGATGGCTTTTCTAACTCGTATTCTTCCCCTGTCAAGTTACAAAGAGCTCTTTTTAACCCGTGTGCGGTCCTCATTTGGGAGTCACACTCATGGTCTTTGCGGTCAAAAGTGACCGGACACCTGAATTTAAAAAAAAAAAAATTTTATTCAGTAAAATAAATCTAATATATTTTTGTTCAATAATATTTTTTATTTATTCTTTTGTATTTTGAGAAACTTTTATGGTACTAATTAATATTTCTGCAATAATTATGATACATTTTCCCCATTGAAAATAGTACAAATTGTTTTTTTTTTCTAATTTTTTACAATTATTTTTCAATTAATGCAGTATTTCAGATTAAAATAGAGACTAGGCCTTTAAAATCCAATGTTTGAAGGCAGAATAGCACCTCCTGGTGAGAGCAAAAACAAGAAAAACCTGTAATTTCATGGTTAGATGCCTGTATAGGACTCTATAGAGATGCTTGTGAATTCCCTAGTTGTTTTTATACATAATTGTTTACTTTTATTAGGTTGTGGATTTAAATGTATATTAAGGCATTCTCAAATATTACTTTATGTCAAGGTTTATATTTTTGTTGTTTTAAATGTTGATTTGAAGTGTAGGTTTTTGCATTATTATTACTACATTCAAACCTGAACACAGAAAGCATTTTGATACACAAAACATTAAAATTCTATAAAAATGCAACAAAAATTAACAGGAATGCTTTATCAGAGCTCTACCAAGTGCCATAAAAGTCACCAAGTTTTGTACCATTCTGGTGAAGCTACGATTTTTAAAAATTCAAAATGCAAAATTCTCCGGTCAGAAGTGACTGAAGACCGCAATCTACAACACCTGAATCTCTCCACAGTTAACTCAGCACATACAGATAGGGAGGAAATGTCTCCAACAAAAACTTATCTGACAGATAAAGAGTTCATTTTGAATTGTTCTCGCATTTTCACTTTTTGAAATCAGACAGACTCGACTAAATCCCTTTTCTTCCCGGTTCTACAAAGCCCCACTGCTTTCACACGGCAAACAGGCAGGATTAAGATGTGGAGATGTCAGGGAGAAGATAGAAAAGCTGGAGGCGGCTCTCGCTCCCGAGGCAGTGATGGAAAGTTGAATGCAAGGGGAGGAGAGGTGCATTTCAGACGCATGGAGAACAGACACGTCATCAAGCAATGCAGACAGTGCTAGAGTTTGAAGTGGAGTGAAGATTTCTGGGGTTTAGGATTTCATAGGTTAAGATTCAGCATTCTTTTAATGTAGAGATACGTACCTGTACGGGCTGCTTCACCAGTGACTGTTAGACACTTTTGAGGTTCTTAGAAATAAAAAGTCCTTGACAGAAGAATGAAACATCCATTTTAAAAAAGGGTAGAAGAAAAAAAGTTGGAAGAAAAGAGGCAGGAAATACGTCTCCTCATTAACATTATCTCAAAAGCTCATAAATGTGAAACACTGCATCCTACTCTTGTTCAGAATCACTCACGCAGCCTCTGCTCTATTTGTCCCTGATTGCATATTGTTTATTGTATATTTTTAGGTCTCAGAATTGGCCTGGAGAAACTCATTAAGGAGAAAGTCAATTGGGGATTTGAACAGCTGGGGGTGAGAAAAGTCATCCTAGAGACCTGACATCAACCCAGTGAAACACAAACCCAGGGAAATTGGAGGTGGCTGAATATATGAAAAGGTTTTGTGGGGGTTAGTTTGTTAGCTTGTTCAATCATGCATCACTTCTGAGCACAATTTTACATGGTGATGAAATGGCAAATGGTGCAATCAGAACAGAAATGCACAAGAAATAAGTCATATAAAAGTCACATAAAAATGTCTGAATATAATATTTCTGAACATGCATGAAGTAAGAAGCACTTAGCATTCATTTTGATTTCATGTAGACTTTAACAATGACCGAATGTGGTTTGATAGAATTCATCAATTAAATCTCATTCTTAACTGACTGTAGAATGTCTGAAAAGAGGTTTAGCCATAGCAGTATAATCATACTATTAAACTATGCAACTATTTTTGTTATAAGAAGCACTAATGGGAACAGGGTTTATATGCTCACATTTCAGTAGAAGAGTGGCTACATTCAGTCAGACTTGCATTACTATAATAAGATAAAACAACATTATTATATAATATTATAAAAGACTGGAGGTGTTGACATTTCTCACTCCTGCCTTAAAGCCCGCAGAGACTCAGCTTGAGAAGCGTCTAACAAGCAAAGTAGTGCTGGGCGGTATACCGGTTCATACCGAATACCGGTGTTTATTTTTGTTATGATATGAATTTTGAAAATACCGCAATACCGGTATATGTCACTTAAACAACGTTCGGAACGCGACACTGTTTGAAAGGGGTGTCTGCAGTATTTCCTCTTGCAATCAGTAGAAAATATGGTTAACACCCGGTCATGCATGGAAAAAAAAATACCGTCTTGTACCGTGAAACCGGTATAATTTTGAAAAATACCGTGATATAAATTTTTGGTCATACCGCCCAGCACTAAAGCAAAGGCGCAAAAACAACATGCTCTAAAAGTATAAAGTGATGAATGATAGAGGACAAGTCCTTACAAAGTTTCTTTAAAGTCCTTACAAAGTCTCTAAACAAGCAGAGCTTCACATGTTTCCCAAAATTAATAGAGCACGAGTCAGTCTTGTATGAAGCCTTTAGCCAGTAGATCCAGTATGATGGCCTTCAAAACATCTGAAACTTCATTAAAAAGAGCCTAATTACAATGAGAATACAAAATGCAATTAGAAAATAAAAAATGTCATCAATGTCTTGTCTCACTGCAATACTGTCGGGACCCCCTCCCCCCTTACTACTTACTCAGTTCTGCTATATGAGAAAGTAAGGGGGAAAGATGGAAAGGTCCCAAATTTTCATAACCATATTTTTGGGACACAGCCCTGGCAGTCTAGAGAACAAGGCATGGCATCACTCTTTAAAAGCTGAGCCATTTTCCACAGTTCCTTGTTCTTTTAGGATTTGTATCTCCCCTTTTTATTTTAAGTATTACCAGACCTTATATAAAAGTACACCATTTGAAAGGAATTTGTAAGAGAAGAAGCAATGATTACTTTGGGTTAACTCAAATTTGGCTAGTCGTCTACTGTATGTACAGATCCTATACGTTCAGCACACAGCAGATGTATTGGCAGAAGGCTTCACTAAAGAGTAAATTCAGCTAACCAATGATATGTAGTCAGCATTCAGATTCGTTGGAATCTGAATGCTCCCCCCACCACCACCACACCACACCACAACATATATATAGCTTCTGTCATCATTTACTCATCTTCATGTTGTTCAAAACATATGACTTTATTTCTTTCATGGAACATAAAAATGTTACAATTTTTATTTTAAAGAATCAAGCTAGTCACTCTTGCAATTATGATGCTGGCTTTCAAGCTTCAATATGCAAAAATACAACAAAGCATTATAAAAGTGGCCCTACAACTTATATTCCAAATCTTCTGAAGCCATGATAGTAAAAAAATGATTAATATTGACATCTGCTTGTTAGGCGAGTTCTTAAGAGAAGCAGTGACACATGAATTTTCAGTGAATCTCTGGTTCACAAACCAATCTGAATGCTTTGTCCATGAATCAAACTGGTTCTTGAGTTCAGCAGATTCACTGATCCATTCACAGTGGTTCTCGAGTTCAGTTCTCTATCTGTCTGTTTCTGAAACAAAACTATGGTTTGATTTGGAAGGACTTGGAATATAATTCACAAGCTGAACACTTTTATGGTGCTTTCGAAGCATATTGCTTTCTGAAGCTTGAAAGTGTCAGTCTCCATGGAGACTAACAATAAGGGCCAGAACATTTCTTCAAAATCTCTCCTTTTATATTCCATAGATGGAAAAAAAATCCTATGGGTTTAGAATGACATGAGGATGAGTAAATGATGACAGAATTTTCATTTTTGGCTGAACAACCCCTTTAACTATTCTTTAAATATTCATAATGTTATGTTGGCAGTTGTATGAATTAAACATACATAATCTTAGCTGTTTGATCTAGCCTTTGACAAAGTCATCCTTTGATTTGGAGAAAAGGCCTTACCTTCAGCTGATGCCAATCGACCCCCGTGACCCAAGCAGATGGTGAGAAGCACAAGAGAGGAGCAGATGACCCTCATGACTCCCTCCTTCAGCTCCTAAACATGATTAAAAAGAATAAGTGAACAGGTGAGAAGGAAATTATCGAGCAGACCGAGACAAACGTAAATAATCAGGAAACAGGTGTGTTAAGAAATATTGTTATAAGCTCATTCTCAGTGGTACACCTTATGACACATTGCCATATTTTAATATTTAATACCATAAGTCTGCAATAAAAGAGCTTCTAAATAATTGCCGGAAAGTGTCAGAAAGCATGTGGGAGCAGTCATAATCAATACAGCGGTTAAAAGCCAGATTAATAATGGTGCCTATTAGGTTGGATGGGTGCTTTTTTAGAGTATAAATTATGCTAATGATCCAAAGAATTTCCAATAAAGCTTTGTAACCCATGACGTTTGACGATTATCATTACTGTGTCCATCTGTCCCTCTCAGTAACAGTGTCATCTCTCACATACACAGCAACACAATGGTTCAGCACAATGAACGCTGAATATACGCTGTATACTGCCTATGTATATTTACATATATAAATAAATTTATATATATATTTCATGTTGGAAATAAAAATGGTTAATTTGCATTTTTAATACCATTTTGTGTAAAAATCAAATAATTGAGTCAAGAGAGACACGTTAAAATGTGCAGCTGATATTAAAAGTAGAACATACTGCATTGTGGGATACAGCATACATCAAATCATCCAAGTATTTTATGCACAAGAAAATCTGCATGTTATGCAGAGTACACTACAAGCTTAGGGATTGGTAAGACTTTTAAAATGTTTTTGAAATTAGTTTTGCATGCTCACCAAGGATGCATTTATTTGATTAGAAATACAGTAAAACAGTAATATTGTGTAATATTATTACAATTTAAAACAACTATTTTCTATTGTAATATTTTTAAAATAGAGTTTATTCTTGTGATGCAAAGCTTCATTTTCAGCATTATTACCCCAGTCTTCAGTGTCATGTGACATGATCCTTCAGAAATCATTCTAATATGCTGATCTGAAGCTCAAGAATTGTTATTATCAATGTTGAAAACAGCTCCTTAATATTTTAGCATATTTTTCAGGATTCTTTGATGAATAAAGCATTCAAAAGAACAGTATCATGTTTTTACTATTACTTTTACTAACAATTTAATGCACCCTTGCTAATCAAAACTACTAATTTCTAAAAAAAAAAAAAAAACTTACTCCAATCTTATGAATGGTAGTGTACAGACACTGTGAGAGTGGTAAGGGGTAATATCATACAGAATAACAAAATAGCTGATACGATTTGTCGTTGTGTTTTCTGACTTGTTAATTTGTTTTCGGATTTGTCGTTGTGTTTTCTGACTTGTAAATTTGTTTTTGGATTTGTCGTTGTGTTTTCTGACTTATTTTGTTTTCGAATTTGTCATTGTGTTTTCTGACTTGTTATAATGTTTTCTGAATTGTTGTTGTGCTTTCTGAATTGTTATTTTGTTTTTTAGACTTGCATTTGCATTTGTAATTTGTTATTTTGTTTTCAGAATTGTGATTTGCTTTGCACTTCTCGGCCACCGTAGATACAGGATGCTAAAAACACAAAAAAAACTAAACAAAAAAAATAAATATTTCCTTGCCATAAAATAAAAGAGCGTTTAACATTTAACTGCTTGTAACAAAGAAATGCAACCAAATGTCTCAGATATAGTTACATGTGTTCACAGAAACAACCCTACCTCACTCCCATTTACAGACATGCTGCTCGCTCAAAGTGACCCTCACTGGCATGTCTGGACATGAACCTGTCAGGGTGATGCATTAGTCAGAAAGCCAGAGGGGGGAAGGTCTTCTCCTCCTCCTTTTATGGCTTTCTTGTAAATTTCAGCCCGTTGGTGATGTTTGTGCGGGCAACACCTAATCTGCATCCTCCGACTGAGGTCATACAACCTGCAGGCTCTGTACCAGTTGAGACACAAAAAGTGAAGGTGTCATGTGAAATAACACCACCCCAGATTATGCGCTATCCCCTGAAGATGAGAAACGTTCTACCTTCTCTCACTGGCCGTCCACACATCTGTTTGAATCATTCCGATTCAGTTATTTACAAGCTCTAGCTTGCTTCTCACTGCAAAATCAACTGTGTTCTTGTAAATAAGACAACATCCATTTCAGGTGAGCGAGGCGGAGATACTCCATTACCTGTATTCAATACCTCTGGGCAATTTCTCATTACCATTCGCTTCCACGCACAGAAAAAGGAATGGAAATTAAAGCTTGTGCTTGTTTTGTTCCCTTTTCACTTTGTTTGCCGTGCAGCGAGAACAGCTGGACCACGCAGATAAAGGAAAGAGTCTCTCTCGCGTTATGTCTTGGCTCAGTGCCTGGCAATCTGAAGTGAATGTCTATAGTCGAAATGACAAAAGCACTAGTTAGGGAACCAAGTATGTGGGTTACAAACGCAGCAGGGCGACAACTCACAGTGTTTCAATGAAAGATTTATAGTTACAATCAATCTATGCTTGCGAAAACAATAATTCGGGGCCATCTAATAGAATGGCTAAAAGCGACAATGTGCATTTTTAATAAACAATCGCTTTAATTAGCTATTGTTAAAATGTCTACAGTCATTTTCTTTTGCAGACCGCTGACAGGAAGGAGGCTGTCAAGTATTGTGTAGTTTTCATGTCAGAGTCTGAGAGCTCAGGGAAAGACTGAGCGTTAAACTATCTCCCTCTCTCTCTCTTAAGAGCTGTGCAAACAAGCAACAAGCAGCATTTTTATGCCTGTTTTACGCATATAGTGCTGTCAGTTAATCACTGGGTTATAAACACCTCTTAAAATCACTATTTTGGGAATGCAGTGTGCTAAAAATGTCATTGGTGTGAAGGCCAAAGATATGACATCATAAACAACCTAAAAAGTTAAATATAAAGTCAGCTGAACCTGGTGCATTAACCCAATTTTTCAGAAAGCACAGATCATTTAGTAACAGGAACCTGCGACTAGACACATCAAACAAACAGAGAGCAATCCAGAGAGATTTATAATGGGGTCTGTGGCATTTGTAATCATGTCTGCGGCACTGTTTAACCTTCAATTACAGCTGTTTTGCAATCATTCTCTTCCAAAGGAGCATTTATCTTTTTTTTTTTGCAGCATCTTTCTTCTCACTCAAGGCAGAGACTGGATCTGGTTTGCTTGAAGCTTGGTTTATCAAACTCAACCTAATTATTGATGGGTATGTGTGGTAAATCTGGCCAATGGGAATGTTGCAAACGTCTCTTCACCTTGTGTCCCCCTGCATTAGCAGCATGGTTTTATCATCAGATAGAGCATGCATTTTTCCCACTCCCACAGGCTGATTTTTAAAAAGATCCCTGTGTATACCCTAGTGTGTGCTGAAAAAGGATTAGAAAGAGATCATGAATGAACTATGGTCTGTATTAAATTTAAAAGTACATTGCCAGGGGGGTTACATGAAAGAACTGCCCTTTAAATTACACTTTGAAAGTTAACTGACAAGCAAAATTTGCAATGTCTAAAAAAAATGTATAAAAGTAAATGCAAATGCAATGTAATTGCATATTTATCAATTGCTATTAAATATAATAATTATAAATAAGTTAACCAGCATCGTTTTTTCCCCTCATTTATGTTGTTTTATTGTACCCTACAGTTGTTTATTACACAAAATAACATTTCTATACATCTTGCAGACGTCAAACAGACATTTCTGTGATGTGCATGTGCTATCAGGCGAACAATACCTGGAACACATGCTGTATCCACTTTAAAGTGTCCAACCACTTTGCTTTCCCATCATGCCATGGGAACTGAAGATCCTTCAGATTCAAAAAGTAAAATAAATAAATAAATAAAAATGCATGCTCTTTGGCTGTTAAGAAATCTGTTTGCTGAAAGTTTTTAGATGCACACTGGCGGAGGCGGCCCACCGGCGGGAGTCTGGGGAGCGAGTGCCGCCTTTTCCCCGGAGGGTGGTCCAGGAGCAACGCGCGCCGGAGGGCATCTCCCGACCAGTAAGCAGGCCGGCGGCTCCCACTCCGCGGGATGAGCCCATGCCTACCGAAGTCACCTCCACTCCCGCACGGACATGGCTGGCAGGGTGCATAGTACATCGGGACCTGCCGGCGGGAGCCCCGGAAGTCAGGGTCGAGGTCAACGGCCGGCCGTTTCGGGCGCTGCTGGACTCGGGCAGCTCAGTCAGCCTTATCCAAGCTCACCTCCTTCCGCCCCGCAGCGAAACCAAGACTGTCCTGCCGATAACGTGTGTGCACGGGGACACGCGACAGGTACTGGCCCGCCGCGTGACGATTTCCGCCGCCCCATCACTTGGACACTTGATTTGTGAATAAATCCACCCTCCGGGGTATTACACTGGTTACACTGGTGGAGAATGCGGGCAAGTTAGTGGAAGATACACCGACAAGTGATCTCCGTCCATTCATCCTCTCTCTTTTGTTTTCCCTACCAGGCGGCTACTCCTCCCAGGGACCCGCCGAACGTGGCGTCCGGCGAAAGGGCCTCGTCGGCGCCCCGTCCTCTTGACCTCGGACAGTGGGAGAGATGGTGAGTCCCCTTCCCATAACCCTAACCTGTATTATGATGTCTTCCAGCAGGAGACGGGAAAAAGTGGCTACTAGTAGTGCCCCGCACGAAGACGGAAACGGTGTTGGAGTTGGCTCACGCACATCCTCTCGCGGGACATCTTGGGGCGGCCAATACCGTCCAACGTGTCCGTGACCGGTTTCACTGGCCCGGCCTGAACGCCGAGGTAAAACTGTTCTGCCAAGCCTGTCCCATCTGCCAGAAGACCTCCCCCCAGGTCACCTCCCCCCAGCCTGCTAATTCCGCTGCCCATCATAGAGGTGCCCTTTGAGCGCATCGGGATGGATCTAGTAGGGCCGTTGCCAAAGTCTGCCCGGGGGCATGAGCACATTCTGGTGATTGTCGACTATGCCACCCGGTATCCAGAAGCAGTTCCTCTCCGGAAAGCCACCGCAAAAGCCATCGCCCACGAACTGTTCCTGCTCTGCAGCCGAGTCGGCATCCCAGCTGAGATACTGACCGATCAGGGAACTCCGTTCATGTCCCGGCTAATGGCTGACCTCTGCCGGCTGCTCCGGGTAAAGCAGTTACGGACCTCCGTATACCATCCCCAGACGGATGGGCTCGTCGAACGGTTCAACC